AAATTACATTTTTTACACAATAACTTAAAAGTATTAAACATTACGAAATTATTTTTTGAAAAAAAACATAATAAATAAGGAAACAAACGGAAAATAGAAAATATCTAGCATTTATTCACAATCTTCTTGCGGATCGGATTCTGGAACCTAGTACTCTTGATCTGAAATGGTTAAATAAAGTATGAGTTATACTAGTTCAGTAAGGATATCACACTATATCACCGACACAAAAATAAAATTTGGTTTAAAATAAAAAATTACTAATGAAGTATTAAATTTAGTAAATTTATTTATCAATAATAAAATTATTTATCGTTCACTTACTATAGTGGAATTTATGAAAACAACCTGTAAGAACAATAATATCATACAGATCAATATTTCATGCATAATCAGCCATCATAGTATATATTATAAATCCATATTCATTATTAATAAACCCAACAATACTTACCACTCTTTTCACCAGCTTACTGGTATCCATGGGGTTTCATAGGGATGCCCTCGCTACACATGAACCCTTTCTTTATCATTCTCAATTATGGATTGTTCCCATACTTCGTCTGATATGAGTGCCAATTTATCAAACTTCAATATCTCGTCCGGTATGAGGGTGAAGCGAGTTGTCTCCATACTCCGTTCTGTATGAGCACCAAATTATTAAGTCTCCATACCCTATTCGGTATGAGACAACATTCACGGTAGGGTTCCCTATGTACCCACTCCGTCCACCATCTCTCAGCATATCCAGTAAGACTGCATTTTCATATAATTATTTAATCACACAATTTTTTTACCGTTTAAACTTTATTTTTTCCGATTCAGCAGTAAACACATAAAATAAACCATGCATGCGTTCAAAATCATAAAATGAATAAATAAGATACCATCATGCAGGTAAACTGTAAAAACAATCAATAACAGTAGTAGGTAATTTTCGATTCCGGCTCCATTAACAATCCGTAATTAATTATGCATGTTTGTAAAAATCGTATAAAATAATACATTATTATTTATTTAAATTTTAGTTTTATGATAGAGAATAGGGTGAGAGATCCTTACTTGATTTGACGTCCGAAAAGCTAAACTGTTTACTACACCTATAAGCGGTCCTTAGTTTCCCTAAATTTTTCTCTGAAAACTGAAACACGCTAATAGTACCTACAAATGTTTCAAATAAACCCAAAATCAGTCCCAAAGCCCACTCAGCCAATTTCGAAATTTCAGCACAGCGGCTCCGCCGTGCTTCAGCGACAGCACCACCGCGAGTGGAGATAGTCCGCTTCAGGTCAGCCGTTTTCGGCCATTTTCGGTTGATTTTGCATCGATCCTTCCGAGAAGATACGTTAAAGGGTCTCGGTTGCCTGAAAAAATACGAAAAATCGAAACTCACTAGCGGCGAGACTCTCTGGTGCGGCAGCTCCTTCGGCTCACGTTGCGGTTGAGTGTTTTGTTTCG